GCTGCAGGCAAAGCCATGCTGCAATGACATGCTACAAGGCAATGCACACTTGTTTTTACATCGTAAAAAAACCATGTCTAGTTACAATTTGTTTTGAACTTGAAGCATGTTCACTTAACCTGAACAATAAAGCACTGATGGTGCTAAAAGATTTTCACTCACAGAGTTCTGTTTTGTTGATTATGATATTTTAGTCTTTATAATGGAGGTTCAATGAAAAGTTTATAAATAAACACTATCTTACCTGTTGTAGATTTCTCTTTGAAGAACTTGAGTTTGAAGCAGAGGTGGGCATCGAGGACTGCAGTTCTGCATGTTTTACTTGTTTCTCTGCTCCAACACACCGGATTTGAATGAATGGGTGATTATCAGGCTTCTGCAGAACTTGGAAGAGGTAAAAAAAAAAAGGTAAAACATGCAGGGCTGCTGCCCTCCAGGACCAGGACTGCTCACCTTTGTTTGAATGAATAGACTGATGAGCTAATGGCTAATTTGGGTGCAGCTAGGACCAGAATAAATAACTGTTTGCCTAAAACCAATAGATTTTTTTCTAAACATAGAAGCAATAAAGAGACAATCATCAGCCAATCAGCTGCTGTACCTGTCTGGTAAAGGTTGTTTTGAGTCTCCAAAGTACTTTCTTGTCTTAGAGGGATGAATGGATTCCAGAAGACCTTTGAAGGTTTCTTGGGTATTAGCAGCTCAGTCTGCAATTTATAAGATTCATGGTTGCAACATTTTTGTTTTCCAGGACATCTTATCTTGCAGATGTCAAAGTGACACTCACACTGGCACCATAACCAAAAAGATCATCACCCAAAGTAGACAAGGCTTTCTCCCAGACTGCATCCTGATGCCCTCTCTTCAGAAAAAAAGTGCTTTTGATTCTGCCCACACGCCTCCCTGATGGGTGCATGATCCTGTAGGCAGTTCTTATTTGTGTGTCTTCTCTACAATAACCATTATCAAACYACCCAGTCGTCTACTTATCACAATATGGCTCTTGTCAAAGTAACTCAGATCTATGTGCTTCTTCATTTTTTTTCTTCTGACACATCAACTTTCAGAACCAACTGTTTGCTTTCTGTCTAAAGTATCCATCCCCACAGACTGGTGCCACTGGAAAAAGATAATAGTGTCATTTACTACTCATTGCTGAAAGGTGAATGCAAAGAATAATGTTGCAAATWTCTTTGTTTCTGTGTATGTAGGTCTGACTTTTAGCAAAATATCTCATGAACCACTGGTCAGATTTTTAATGAAATTTGTAGGAAATAATCAATGGATGCACACCAATAATTTATAAAACTTAAGTTCTCACAGATTGCTCAAAATCGTGGAAATTTTTCATTAACTATTTTGGAGTGAACTTTCATTGGATGTACATACAAATGATAAATCTTTTGGATGGCCACCACAGCTAACTAACCTTGGAAAACAGAAAAAAATACTATTAGTTTGTCTGAACCCTCCCTGTATTTGTCAGCAAAACATCTAGTAAACTGCTGCACATATTTGAAACTCATTTTCAGAAAATACATTGATGAACAACTAAAACTGATTAAAGTTTGGAGTCAGTCAATTAAAGATAGTCACTGCAGCTAGTTGATACATTTGCCAACATAAAAATGTTAATTGTCAGTTTTTCCAGAAGTTATAGCTGGTAAGTGATAGTAGCTGAAAGTCATCCTGTACTTTACTGTCATATGCTCTGAGCGTCTAAGCTTTGAACAAAAGCGACCATATTATGGAGAGAAAAATAACGTCATCATTTTTCAACAGTATAGGCATGAAAGGCAGCGGGCGACGCGCATTCCCTCAAGTCTTCAGAGTTTACATGTTGTGCTGTGAAGCCCTCTATGGGCGGGGTTTGGTACTGCAGCCGCGCGGGGCGCCTCCTCCCTCTTCTCCCTCCCGGTCGGAGCCGGGGCTGCATTCCTCTCCTCTCGGGCTCCATTCACACGCAGGGAGACGTCGCAGAGCGAGCACCGCCACTCCGTGACCAGCGTGGAAATGTACCCAAGTTTTGGAATTTAAAACCATGGCGGGGATACCTACGCTCCGGATCACCTGAATCTGTAAGTCCGGAGAAAACCCCAGCGCGAGGCTCCCCTTTCGASTGGAGGGAGCAGGTTTTTGTAGGAAAATAATCAGGCTATTTCTCTTCTTTTTTCCCCCCTTCTTCTTCTCCCCCTCTCTCTTCTGTTGCTCCGTGTTGGTGAGTTTTTCCTGTGTGTTTCCACTCCACGACTCGACTCTCGGGTGGTTGTGTTTAGGAGTTTAGGAGCAGCTGTGGAGAAGACGCTTTAGGACAGAAAAAATAAAAAAATAAAAAAACTGCAGACAGCGCGAGACTTTAACTAACTAACTTGATTCATTTAAACGCGTCTCCTCTGCCCCTCTCCTCTTAATTACCACCTGGTGCTGGAAACTAATAACTGTTTGTGTTTATCCTCCGGTTTTGCTGCAGCGTGATGCGAGTTTTTTTCCCCCCAGCTGCAGCACCCCTCCATAAAATGACTTTTAGTTGCGTTAAATAAAGCAAAGCTCTGAAAAATTTAAACCTGCTTGTTGCTTACAGGCAGGAATGTTAATGTCACCAACAAATAATATTCAAAAGGCTGACACTTAACTGCAGATTGGATAAAATGTTCCCGGAGGACCCGCAGGTGGCTTTAATATAATAATAATAATAATAATAAAAAGCTTGCATGCTTTATTTATTCAATTTATTTCCTCAAATTTGAGTGAATCCGTATTTTTAAAGGACCTCAGGGAGGAGTTGTAGATGTGTCTCCCACTGTTTGCTGTGGGGAAGAGGGGGAAAAAAAATCGATCCTCTTTTATTAGCTTTGAAATAATTAGAAATAGCGCTGGTGTGATGTGAAAAGAGCGCTAATCTGCGAACGAATGAGGCAATTTGTGAGCTTTGTTATTCGACAGCAATTGAATTCCCCTCTTTGAGCAGGGATGGAGTGCTGAGGGCTGTCTGTGGGTGTGTTTGAGTGCGCATTTGCTTGGCAGCTATTGAAAATGCCTCTATTGGATTCTCCTCAGCTCCCTGTTTTATATATATATATATATTTTAAATCAAATCTTCGTTAATCAAATTAGTCTGGGCAGCCCCGATCCCTGCTGTGTGAACTCATTTTTTAGCCTATTTCAAATATGTATTTATGAATCATAATGGATTGAGCAAAGGCTTTGAGTTAATTTTAACCTTTTTTTTTTATCCCCAGGGATAGGAGGGGAAGTGAGGCCAGACTGGAGCTTATCAATAAAAATCACTGCACTTGTTCTTAAATATTGATGCAGGACTTCTACAATATAAATTATAGCATAAAAGCATAGCTTTTTAATGATTAATGGGGTGTTTCTCTTTTTTTTTGCATCGGTTCATCCACAGCAGCTTCTTTAGGTAAACGTAAGGATGAGGATTTAATTTGAATGTGACACAAGTGTTTATTTAAGAGGTGGTGCCCATCTAACTACAGGCGCAATGTGACATTCAAGCAGCAGAAGTGAAACGATCATCAAAACAAACCGTGTCAAGAGTGTGAAACTGCCAGCAAAGAGATACAAATAAGGTGGCAAAACATTGTGCAGGGCTTTGTTATGATGTTTAACAGGAACTTGTCTTTTTTGCGATGAGAAAACATCCATCACTGTCTTCTGCTGAAAGAATCAGAGCTTCGTTTCCTGATAAGCAGATCGCAATGATCTGGGTACGTGTTCTGGCATGTTCCATTAACCACACTGTTGTAGCCTAAATTTAGCTGAGTTCCAAGAATCCGGTTCCCAATGTAAAGCTGAGGGAGGGAGGTTTGAAAAAGAAAAGATTTTGTTTAGCCTAAGTGTCATAATGTATGGCATCGTAARGTAAAAGCTGGCAAACCAGCCAGAAAATTACAAGCAATTTGCCTCAATCATCCCTAATTATGATACAGATCTTCTCCACAATGGGACCAGCGGTGTCAGGAATTCTCCACAGCCCGCTCTGCCGGTCTGTCCGCTGGTCGCTGCTGTGAGGAGTAAATCGGTGACGTCCAAACTTTGGAATCTGAGCTGACATGTGCACTTTGCACCTCTCTGGCCCTGCCTTTGTGCGGCTGCCCCAACGTCGCATTCCTCTGGACCTTTCAGTCAGCGGTGTATTCAGGGTCCAATTAGATTGTTGTTGGATGACAAAGCAGAATGACAGGGTTGAAATGCACACATTCAGACTGRTGGGAAATGTTTTAATTTGTGTATCAGTGAGCTTTTTTAAYTTTTAATTTTAAATTTTTTTAAGAAACAAGATTAAAAGCAGGATTTAAATGAAACTCCTGGAGGCACAATTGGGACTTTCTCAGCATGAATAGAAGAATAGAATGCCTCACGGAATCAAGAAAATTGTTTATGAATGCAGAAAGCTTTTCAGCACGTAACTGTAGTCTGCAGGGTGTGCACTTCTATGATTCATGACTTTTCTGCTGCAGACCAATACACAGACTGTGTTAACATTCACAGTCTGTTGTATTGCTGTGCATTAAAATCCAAATAATTTTCCAGTTTCCTTTACAGTTTGACATTCTGAACCAGTGGGACAACCTCATCTTTAGGCATTTCCTCCTCTCGCCTTCCCTCCCTGTCTCTGCTGCTTCTTCTCTTTAGGTTTGTGCTGCTGCTCAACACCCCCCCCTCCCCCCGCTGTCAGAAACCAAGCGTCTGAGCCTCCCTCCCCATCATTCTCATTTTTTTCCAGTTCATTTACCAGTTCTTCCATCCTTATCCTCACTAAGTGTACAGATGTTCTGTGTTATTCTCTTTGTTTCCCTCCACCAAAGGCAAAAAGGGATGATAATTTCATTAGGTATCCACTGATACCTGTATTTGGGTATTTTTGAAATGGCTGTTCTGATGCACACTCCTCATCATTTGTTGGAGGCAAAGCACCATAAACCAAGTTGACAAATGAAGGGACGAAATCTCGCAAGTGATTTGATAGAAAGACAAAGAAAATCAATGCACAGTGTTTAAGAGCTTSCTAAACAGCAGCAGAAATGGCTGCATGTTCTCCTGAACAGGCTGAGCACGAGATTCCCAACAATCTCACCAATGGACACCTTTGGGGGAAAAAAACCTTTCCTGTCCTGGGTCAGTTTGATGTGTTTCCACAAAACGAAAAGCTACTCTGATTTTCTATCACCTATTTAAAGTTTTTGTAATAAATAAAATACCCTTTATACTCCAATCAGTACTTGGTATTGGCAAGTACTTGTACTCTGGCATCAGTGCATCCCCAGTTTTTGCCTTTTGTGTTTGTTAACAAAACATCTTATAAGTCGGCAGAGAAAGTTTGATGAAACTCGCCAAAAGTAATGATTGGATGCACAGCCTATTAAATTTTGGAGTTAAGATGGCTACCATAAAAAGAACACAAACTTTGCAACTCATTGACGAGACTCATTCACAACTCATAATCTTAGTGTGGAGGAGATTTTTTTTAAGGTTTGAGCTAAGCTGTTACAACTTTGTAATTTTTCAGCATAAGATGACCTTAAGTCTAAAACTCTGAAAGCTGGTGGGTGATATGCATTCCTTCGGAAAAAAAATAGTAGAACTTCTGAGACGAAACCATCCACACCTAATGGTTCTCGTTATCCTCGTTTGTCATCTTCTGCCTCTCCTTTTCTTTTCAGACTCCTTGGCTGAGCTAAAGTCCTCCCTTCTTTACAACCAGTTCTGCATGTTTCTGCCGTGATAATTGGTCTTCATAGTTTCCCAGTGTCTCGTCGTTGTTGCTTTTTGTCGTGTTGCTCATTGAAGAAGCATTTATCACTCTAAAAGAGGATCCCCTCTCAAATCTATCCAGCGGTTATGTCAGAGACATTTGCCGTAATCTTAGCTCTTTCTGCCATGCGTGAGCGCCTTCGCTGCTCACTGGTGCTGTAATGCAATATCTGTTTTCATATAATAGCTGGTGAGGATGGCTTGTTTTTATTACATAGGTTTTCATTTGTGTCAGTCTTGCTGAAGTGGTTAGTTGGAGTGGCTCTTCTGCCTGTAGGTGTGCTTCAATCACTCCGTCTATTCTTGTTTTTTTTTTCTTCTTTTTCTCCCCTTGTAGAACACTTCTGTCCAAATTTTCTTCATTTTGATCTTCCCTTGCTTCTGACACATCCTTCCTGCGTCTGCATAGTGTCACCTTCTCCATCTCTCATAATATTTCACTTTGGGTTTGTGTGGTTCCCTGAGGCAAGGAGCCACACAGCAGCAGCGATATTAAAACGCACTAAAGAGGGGGGCAGGAGTAGGGCTCCATCTTGAAGACCCCATTCTCCACATGCATCTCCACACACATGTCTCGTGGCAGCAACACCTATCCAGCCTACAAGCCTTAATATGAAATAAACTCACTTGCCAATACCTGGCGGGCTTGTCTTGACTGACTGCTRGAATTGGAATGACCTCTATTTGGCCCAAATAAGAAGCTGGGATTGACAGTCAGTAGGTGGTGTTGAGCCGCGGAGTGCTGGTGCATTACCAATGATGCAGGGAGGTGAATTTGTAGGTGAGCTTGCAGCATAAACCCTCATCAGTGCCAATCAGAGTAAAATTTAAAGGTAGATGGGGGGGCTATCAGAAAAGCTCAATCACATTTTAAACAAAAGAGGCTGCACTGCATTGTTTTCATCCCTGAAGACTGTCTGAATTAKAGGAAGTACATGATGTGAATGTGTGTGTGTGCAGGATTTAAAGCCAGAGCTCTGTGTGTATTGTTTGATGCCTTGCCCTCCCTGTAAAAAAAATCTTCCTCATTGCATCCCTCTTTTCACTGGCAGCCCAATTAATTTGACCAGAGCAGAAGTTTCTGCAGCCATCAAATGACTTTCGTTTTCTTTGAGGAAAGCAGTCTTAGTTTCGCTGTCTCTCTGTCGTGCTCATCCAAGCGAACTGTCTGTTATGTATAATTAATTTTCTCCTCTCTCCCAGTTTATTTTTATCGCCCACTTTTAGCAGTTTCTTCAAAGGACCCCTCCCCCTGCTTCCGTCCTCCTCTGTGCCTGCTGAAAGTGACAGCTGCTCGGGTACACGA